AAAAAAAAAAAAAAAAATTTTTTTTTTCTTTCTTTCTTTCTGCTCTTTCTATTCTTTTCTACGAGAGAAAAAAAAAACGTTAAGAAATAAAATAAAATAAAATAAAAATTATAAAATAAAATTTTTTTTAAAAAAAAATGAATTATTATAATTTTTTACCCACAAGAAATTTTCAAATTTATCAAATATTCGCATCAAATACAAATTTAGGAAAAACCATCATTTCAACTGGATTATTAAGATCATCAATTTTAAAATCGTCGAAATCATTAATCAATAAAATCAACAACAAGAATAACGACAAGAACAACAAGAACAACAAGGACAAGAAGAACGAGAATAAAATCAATTATTATAAAAATATTTATTATTTAAAACCTATTCAAACGGGATATCCAAAAGATGATGATACAAATTTTGTAAAAATTTTTACGATTAATAATAATGATGATTATTATAACGTTGATGATAACTTTGAAAAAAATGATAATAAAATTAATATTAAATTTAATTCTTTATATAAATATAAAAAACCTGTTTCACCACATTTAGCTATTAATAAAAATTTTATACCTAATGATGAAATTGTTTTAAATAAAATAAAAAGTTATATATCAAAATGTTATAATGAATCATTAATTAATGGTGGAAGATTATTTTTGGAAACTGCAGGAGGTAACAAGAAGAAATTATTTTTTTTATATAACTTATAAATTTATTATAACTTACAAAAAAAAATTTTTTTTTTTTTTTTTTAGGTGTTTCCAGTCCAATAATGTCAGGTGAATAATCATTTAAAAAATTCGAATTATAATTATTTCAATCAATAATTAATAATTAATAATTAATAATTAAGAATTAATAATAATAATAATTTTTTTTTAAAGGTACGATACAATCGGAATTTTATAGAGTATTAAGATTACCAACTATTTTAGTAGGAGATAGTAATTTAGGAGGAATAAGTACAACATTATCATCATATGAATCTTTATTATTAAGAGGTTATGATATACCAATAATTATATTATTTAATAATGAAAATTATAAAAATCATTTATTTATTGAAAAATATTTTAATGAAAATCAAAATTCTTCTATTATTAAACCTAAAATCTTTGATATTCAATTACCACCAAAAAAAGACGAATATAATGACTTAGTAAATATGAAGAATTATTTTCAATCAAATGATGAAAATTTTAATCATGTAACTGATGAATTGGAAGAATGGTATGAAAATAAATTTAATAGATTGGATAAAATGGAAGAAAAAGCAAAAGAAATTGTTTGGTGGCCATTTACTCAACATGGTATAGTTGATAAAGTTAACGTGGTTGATTCCGCATATAAAGATTTATTAATCACCTATAATAATAATAATAATAGTAATAATAATAATAGTAATAATAGTAATGATAGTCATAATAGTAATAATAGTAATACTTCTGATATCGATACTCCCGATACTCCTAGTTTAAATGAAGTGTTTGATGGATCAGCAAGTTGGTGGACTCAAGGATTAGGACATGGAAATTCAAAGTTAACATTAACAGCATCATATGCATCAGGTAGATATGGTCATGTATTATTTCCTGAATCAATTAATGAACCATCATTATCACTCTCAGAATCATTGCTTGATGGAGTAGGAAAAAATTGGGCTAATAGAGTATTTTATTCTGATAATGGAAGCACCGCTATGGAAGTTGCATTAAAAATGGCATTAATTAAACAATCTGATGATGTCGAATTATCAGTCTTGGGTTTAGAAGGAAGTTATCATGGAGATACTATTGGAGTAATGAACGCTTGTGGACCTAATATTTATAATGAAAAAGTTTCTTGGTATTCTCCAAAAGGTATTTGGTTTAAACCTCCACAAATATTAATGAAAGATAATAAATATAGAATTAATAATATTCCTAAAACCATTAATAATAATTTTGATGGATTTGATTCGTTAACGGAAATCTTTAATGAGAATAGGGTAGAAAAAGATCCATTGTCTTACCATTATAAGCAAAGTATTGAAAATCAATTACATCATTATACAAATCAAGGATATAAATTTGGAACATTAATAATAGAACCGATAGTAATGGGAGCAGGAGGAATGATATTTGTAGATCCATTATATCAAAAACAACTAATTAAATCAGTTCGTTCAATATTAAATATTCCAATAATATTTGATGAAGTATTCACAGGATTTTGGAGATTAGGTAAACAAACAGGAGCGGAATTTTTAAAAATTAATCCTGATATCGCAGCTTATGCTAAATTATTAACTGGTGGATTATGTCCTTTGGCTGTTACATTATCAACTGAAGAAATATTTAAAAAATTTCTTGGTAATACTAAAGTTGAAGCATTACTACATGGACATTCTTATACCGCTCATCCAATTGGTTGTTTAGTTGCCAATACTTCTATAAATGAATATCCTAATTTAAAATGGATTAAAGGAAATGAAAATGAGATAGATAAATCATTTAGTTTATGGGATAAAAATTTTCAAAAACAAATTTCTTGTTTACCAAAAGTTAATGGTGTATTTTCTTTAGGTACTTTATTATCTATTGAATTAAATGATATAGATGGTGGTGGCTATGCTTCTAATATTGCTAAAATTTTTAATGAAAAACTTTCTAATCTTGAACGTAAATCAATTGATGATTTTGGTATTAAAACCAGACCTTTAGGTAATGTCATATATATTATGTCTTCTTTAATATCTGATGTAAAATCTCTTAGAAATATTGAACAAAAAATATTTGATTGTTTAAATAAATAAATAATAAATAAATAAATAAAATTTATTAAATCTACAGTATTATTCATTTATTAATTTGGGTATACCATAAACAATTTAATATTTTTTTAATTATCAAAGTGATTTCAAGTGATTAAAAAAAGTATTTATGGCTTTGAATCTTTTGATGACCCAGCCGGCTGGTCAAAGATTTACAATAAGATGTATTTATGGTTAGTAAAAAATTTTTCGTTTTAAAAAAAAAAACAAACAAATTAAACATTTTAAGTTATTTACAATAATAATCAAAATAGCCATACCTTGGCTTTGCATTTCGGGACATTTTTACGTAATACAACTAAAAAAGCAAAATCTTCCAAATTCTTCTAAAAATAAACATGGTAGCCTCATTATTCAAAAATACCTGTTAAAAATGTTTTTTTTTTTTGATTTTAAGCCCAAATAATAATTTGGTGGCTGCTTTTGTAGTTGAAGGAGTTAAAGGTAACTGAGGCGTTCTTCATGCCAAGCATTATTACAACAAAATACAAGGCTTTAATAGAAAATCTATAGAATAATGAGGCTATGTGGCTATGTTAGTATGTTAGGTCATACAGAAAAATAAAAATGTCATTTTTTCGTAATAACCGGGAAACCGGAGAAATATTTATTTTTTTTTAGGACATTTTAAACAATTATTGCAATTATTGCCTAATTATCTGATCCATTTTAACGAAATATGATAAAAATCTACAAAATTGATTATTTAGGGATAGTGAATTTTTCAAACTTAACCCAACTTAACCCAATAAAATTCTCCTCCTTATAAATGATTTACAAAACTAGAAACTTCATAAAGAAAATTCCGTTCGAAATAAAAAAAAAAATCATAACATTTTGCCGATTAATAAATTATATCACAATTTAATCACAGTGTCAACTTAACAGAAATTCTTTACCTCTTCTTCAATTGGGCGTGGATGGAACAAATTTGGCGTGGATGGATTTATGGATTTTTGAAAGATTATGACATGCTATTATGATTTTTTTCACATAATAAAAAAAAGAAATATGTTTGGATTATTGGATTTACATGGATATAAACCCGGTAGACGCTAGTAGTAGTATTCTACGCGTCACAAACGTAAGGAATTCACGTTATACTGTAACCCGTTAGTCCATTAATCCGTTAGTCCATTATAATTATGTTAGTCCATTATAACAGATAGATAACCATAACAAGATAACCATTAATCCAATTATACAATTATAATGTAAAAAGTATCGAATTCGAACCTTTTTTGCCTTGTAATTTTGATATGAAATATAATTATAAAATTTTCATGCGAAATTTTTTTAGAAAAATATTATAAAATTTATAAAATATTAAAAAAAATTGATAATTTACAATATAATTTAAATAAATAGTTTATTAATATTATCCTCTTAGATTTTTTATAAATTGGACAATGGGTTTTAAACTTTTAATTATACATTATTTAGAACTGAGAGAGAGAGAATGAACGAGTGAGTTGAGTGAGAAAAAATGGAGAGTGAAAGAGTGAATGAATAAAATGAATAAATGTATGAGTGAATGAGTGTGAGACAGTTTAAATGAATCTAGTCATTTTTTTAAGATCAAACGCGTACAAATCACAAAAATGTTACTGTAATTACTTAGAATAGATTGTATGTGTGTAAATTTAATTAAATTTAATTAATTTAATTATATATTACTCGAATAAATATAATTTCATTTCTTTCAAATAAAAAAAAAAAAAAAAAAA